AGCGGGGGTCCGGCCCAGCGGCCTCCGTGGCCCCTCCTGCCTCTGCTCTTCTGTTCCAGGGTCCCTCCCCACCAGCCCAGCCCAAACGGGCCAGGAAGTGCCGCTTGCACCCAGGGCCTCAGAGTGCTGCACCCCTTCCCGCGGCGCCATCCAAGGGGGTGTGGGGGGAGTGGGGCTTGCACCGCCCCCCCGCCTCCACCTGAGCGAGGAGCGAGGGCGTTTCTCTCACCCGTCAATTCTGGCCAAATGTGCACTGCGGAGCAGGTGTTCCGGGTTGCATTGTCTCGCTTCGAACCACTGACAGTGGATTTTCGGGGAGAGCGGGCTGGTTTGGTGAGGGGGCGCGCACGTGTGTGCGCATGAGCACGTGTCTTTTCACAGGCGAAAGCAGGAGCATGCTCGTGCCGGCGCTCTTTGCCCGGGAAGGCATTGCCTCACCCACTCGAGTGCCAGTGCGGCGGGGCAGCACCCCCGCTTGGCAGCCCGGAAGGGGCCCGTCCATCTCCCTTCCGGATGCGCAAGGAGTAAGCGGCCCTCAGTCACTCTGTCCCAGAGCCAAGCTGAGCCCCACTGGAACCCCACTGTGCTGGGGTGCCGGGAGGTGACGGCCCCGAGGAGCGGCGGCGATAACGGCCGCTTGGCAAGGGCGCCCCCAGCCAGGGGCGTGTGGCTGCGTTCCCGCCTTGCCTTCCAGACGTATCGCTGCTGCTCCCATGCCTTGCTCTCCTTTGGACAGCGGGAGGTCCCTGGAGCAGGTGGTGTTCTGCACGGCTGGGTTTATTTACAAACATGCCAGCCTGGAGCCGGGGAGCCGGTCCCTCAAAGCTGGTGCCTGCGGGCTGCGCGTCCCGGCCTGGCCTTGCCGCATCGCAGCCAGGAGGGCAAGGCGAGGGAGGGGGCCGTGGTCCGGCCTCGCGGAGGAGGGCCCGGGCTGGTCCCTGGCCTGTCCTGGCAGGACTGAGACCGGACCCCATGCGAGGTCCTGGAAAGCCACGGCACTGGCCCGGCGCCCCCGTGGCGGCTTCCCAGGCTGCCACACTGGGCACTCGCCTTCCGCTTCCATGTCCAATGAGCCTGGGCTACCGACCGGGCGGCCAGTGGGGGAGGCGTCACTAATCTGTTGCCATCTTGCTCTGGGGACAGGCATTTTGGCTCCCCTGGTGCAGAACTCATCTCCCGTCCATACAGGCAATGCCATCTAATGCTGGCAGTATATCATTCATTCATGAACATGCCAAGCCCACATTTCCTTCAGTATAATTCCTTCGAGATACTTTGGTACCACTTCATCAAATCCCAGAGCAGTTCAGACTGAGTGCTGTGAACCGCAGGCCAGGGAGGCTGGTGGGTGAGTCCGTTCTCAGGAGCTGCTTAACGCATGCTTCATCTTCTGCCTCCCCCAATCTGGGGGGGGGGGCAGTTTGCCAGGGGCTGGGCGTCACTGCTGACAGAGCCTCATTCCAGTTCCTGTGTGCTGCTGGTCTGTTGCTTGGTAGCGAGCAGCAAAGGCTCCTCAGCTGATACTGAAAGCTCTGCTGAAGCCGTCCTGAGCAAGCCAGCCTGCTTTGAGTTCTCCTGGGGAAATTTTCCCCAGGCAACTCTGCAGAGACCTTTTCCTGGCCTGAAGGGCACAGCTAGTTGAGGACCTTCCCCACTTCCTCGCGCGGGGGGCGATGTGCCGCGGAAAGCCCGGCAAGGGACCTACTCGCACGTCCCAGGAAGGATGTGGCCCCATGGTCCGGCGAGCCGGCTGGCCGCCACCGCCCCAGCTATCACTCTCTGAGCCCTGGGTGGCAGGAAGGGCGTTTCGGAGTTTGTTCTTCCCAGATCTCTGTGGGAATTCCCAAGCCACTACAAGTCCCAGCAGTCCGTGCCAGCCACCCGTACCCCGGATTCAGCCCCCACTGCTTGAGCTGCACAGACTCTGTAAATGATTTCTTGAGTGAGCCTGAAAGGATCTTCTGATTCCAGCAATAAAATCAAAGCAGAGCACCCACATCTTATCGCCTTCAGATTTGCCTGCAAAGCTACGGCCTTGGTTCTATCAGTGCCTGGCAACTTGGATTGTCAGAGAGAGCCAAAATACGTGAAATAATTATCTTTTGCTCAGAAAGCATTGTTGCCGGCAGGCTTTGGAGATCTGCAGTGCTCTCCCGCAGAGAAAATGTGAGGCTGCAGAGAAAGCCAAGAGGGGAGGAATAACTCCTGCCCTGCCCTGCCCTTTCTTTCCTGGGTTTTCTGCACTTGGTCTGGGGGATGGTGATCAGCTTGCAAAGTGACCCATGATGCCTTCCCATTTTGAGAGCCAGCCTTTGGGGGAGAGTCTCCACGGAAGCTTTTCTGCTGTGGTGCCACACGGTCGAACTCCCCGGCAGGAGAGCCATCCAACAGCTGCGCCCAAAGCCTCAGCTCGTCCATTGCTAAAGCGTCACCCTGGCTTGGGTGACCTGCCCTAAAGCAGGACCTGCATGTTCTCCCAACGGGGGCTCTAGAACCGAAATACAACTCAGTGATAAGCAACCCAAGTCACCACTGGGGTTACCATTCGGAAATTCAACGTTGATGATCAAGTTTGGATTTCAGAAGCCAGCGTTTTTATCAAGATTTGGAAATGATCTGGTCCAATCAATGGAAAAAGTTAGTGTAGAATTTAGTAAAGCTTCTTCAGAGCTGGGTGGGGTCAAACGCTGATCACTCCAATGTGGCCCAAATGGACTGGAGAAGAGCTGCTGCACCTGTGTGTTCTGCATCAAATACTGCCAGGTACCGAACGTCAAAGACGCAAGTGTGCACCGTTCACAGAGGCGAATTTTGGAAGCAAATTCATTCACCCAAACGCGGCCGCTTGGGCCTTGCCCTTGAGCTCCGGCTTGGCTTCCTGCTGCTGCTTTTGTCTGCTCTCGAGGGACCGTTTCTTGAGCCGAGCCCGGCCAGGCTGCAGGGGCCTTCTTCTGCTGAGTCTCTGTGCAATTGTGCAGCTCTGCTCCCGCATCGGTCAGATGCTTGTTCCTGCAGCACAGTGGAAGAGTGCAGTGAAGCATTTGCTCACAAAGTTTGCAGTTGGACAGGAGCAGACATGCAAACCCTTTCTGAACTCTCCAGTGAAGCCAGCGTGATGTGTACCCGAAGCCAGATGCAAACAGCCGCAGGCGAACGCTCGGTAAGCCGGGAGAGCTGGAGAGTGGCTCCAGCTGAGGCCGTCTGCAGCAGCAGCTGGTCTGCGCGTCCAGGCGTGGGCCAGAGCTTTTCCTGCTCTGCCCTGTTGCTGCTCTGGAGCCCCATGGATGCCTCTCACGAGGAGCCCAGTTCTCCTCTGCTCGTGGCAGGTGGGCTCCCAGGCAGAGGACCCCAAGCCGGGGGGCCTCGCGCAGCGGGGCTGTCCTTTTCTTCACATAATATCCGCATGGAAAAGGTCAGCAGGCGTGGCGTGGAAATGTGGGAGACCATCAAGAAGCCATCATCATATTTCTGGATGCCCATAAAAGTCCGAGGAGGAGGTGGGTGACAGCCCCAAAGCTGTCTTGTTGGGCTGGGAGGCCCTGGGCGCCTGCAGGCTCTTCACAGCCCCCAAGAGCGCCCCCCCGCCCAGCGCCCCCCACCCACCCAGCAGAATGCACTTCTGCTGCTGGACTGGGCCTGTTGTTGCTGTCGCTGGCCCTCCCCACGGCTTTCTTCCAGTAGGTTTTGTTCTTTGGACCAGTGGCGGCATTGAGTGGGATACTGCTGAAGGTGCCGCTGAGCGGGAGCGCCTGCTGACGGGAGCGCAAGCAGATGCACAGTGAGCAGACACACCGTGGAGCAGGCCGGGGCAGAGTCACGCCCTGGATGCTTTCCCCAGACCCTCCTCCTCCTCCTCCTCCTCCTCCCCCCTGCGCAGAGCTGCCTGCATCTGATAGGGGTCCCTCTCTGTGCAGCACCAACTCTAGCCACGCCTTGCTAGACTTAGTCTCCACAAACTGTATTTCAGGACAACCTTTGCTGACCTTTTCTGGGCACTCCTGCCAAATGAAGTGAGGTGGGTGGCTACTACAAACAGGGCCTTTTTCGTTGTGGCACCCCAGCTGCAGGATGAGCTTCCTGGAGAGGCTTGCCTGGTGCCCTTCCGAGGCCTGAAGATCAGACTTCCCCTGGCCTGTGAACTTCTGTTGTTCCAGACTGCTTACAGTATTTTAAGTCTTCACTGGTTGTTGGGCTTGACTTTGGGTTCTCACCTTTTAAATATATATTTTAAAAAAAACCTTTATACTGCATGTTATCCTGTTGTATCCTGTGATTTTAATTGCTGTGAAATCCCTCGAGAGCTTTGGCTATACAGTAGCACAGAAATGCAATAAATAGAGCAGAAGAGCAGAAAAACCCAGCAATCCAGCAATCTTCCGCCCCCGAGGGCTAGCTATGCCTCTGGGCTGGGGCAGGCAGGCAGGCAGGCAGGCAAGCAGGCAGGCCAGGGAGGCCAGGCAGGCCAGGCAGGCAGGCAGGCAGGCAGGGAGGCCAGGGAGGCTGGGAACGGTGAGATGGCCCCGATAAGGCCGGGGTCACAAGCAAGCCAAAGGCTCACTGCCGGCCACACTGTTTATCCTGGAAGTGCCTGAACGGAAGTTGGCCTGCCCTGAGAGCGCTCCCAGGCCCTCTGTTCCCTGTACCTGCAACATGGCTGATGGCCCACACCTCCTTCGCTGCTCATGCTGACTTGGGTTGCCTTAAGGAAGAGAGGGCCGGCTGGCGCGCTCATTGGCCGGGCGGCGCTCGCCTCCTTCCCAATTGGCTCGGCAGGCCTGCCTCGACATCTGCCAGGTTGGAGTACCTCCCCCTTCAGGACAGGTGAAGTTTTCTGAGACAGGCTGGGATTCAGAAGGCTGCACTGCACCTGGATTCCTCAAGATCGGCAGTGGGCAGGCATGCTTCGCGGTGCCTGAGAGCAACACTGCCCCGAACTCGTTTTTCCTCCCTGCGTTGTGTTTCGCAACCTGGCCAGGTGGGAGCAGGGGAAGGCAGGCGGGATGAGCAGCAGTGGAGTTGCCTTAAGCACCCCGATTTCAGAAGAAAGCACCGCCTTTACGCCACTCAAGCCCGTCACCATGGCCAGGGAGCCAACCGAAGACACGGCCGTCTTTGAAGACGTCAAGCCGCCGATACGGATCCTGGACAATCAACCGGACCTAACTCAGGTAAGCGAGCTGCTGAAGGCACGGCAACCCCCCACCCCAACAATCTGGGCGCCTGCGGCAAACAACCGTTGCACTTTGGATGAGGTTTCTTTTAAGGGATTTGACAACTATGTGTTTTTAAGAGGAAATATGGGTGAGGTACGTTACGTAAGTTTTTGAGAGCTGCAATTTTTGGCAGAAGTGTATGGGCGGGAGAGGGGAAACACGTAAAGTTTAGGCTGAAGTCAGTCAAGGCAGCTTGTGGGGTGGCTGGGTGAATTCCGTGTTTGATCAGAATTTAGTCTGGGGTGAAACGGGACCAGCTCTGTGCGTCTGAATGGGTGGTCCGAGCTGCTTCCTCTGGGCAAAAGTGAGCGGTGGAGAGAAATGCAGAGCTTGTGCTTTGAGAACGGGGGCCTTTGGGCTGGGGCCTTGTCCGAAACACTTTGGGATGTAAAGTTTCTGGAAGTGGCATTGTTTCCGGTACAGCCAGCTGGAACACGCGGAATCAGGCGCTGCGCAAGGCGGCCACCCCGAGGGTGCTGGGTTGTTTTGCTCCATAGTTGCAGAGAAAGGCTGAGGATGGGCAGCTCTTTCTTCCCGCAGAGGCGGGGGGAGGGGGGCTTGGCGAGGCGCCTGGAGGGTATTTCTGGGACTATTGCTCAGAAGGGTCTGGGGAGATTACATGCCATTCTTGCTTGTTTTTCTTGGGTTTTGTTTTTGAATCACTTGAATGGAATTCTCCTTGAGATTCTCCAGTTCCATGGCTTCCCCATGAGCCGCAGAGATAAAGGGCTGGATAAGGAGGTGAAGCAAGCTGGGTGCCGCATAGCTGCGCTCGCTCGCGCTCCGCTTGGGCTCCGCGATGCGATGCCTGCTCCCCCGCGCTCCCACCGCGTCTGCGGGCCGGCGGCCTGCGGCCTCACCCTCTACAAGGCAAGGTGGTTGCGGCGCCATCGCCCTGCTGGGCCTGCAGCTTCCCTCGTGCTCCAGAGTTTCTGGAGGCAGGCAGGAGAATCACTGCTTGGCCTTGGCTTTTGAAGCGGGCAAGGAAGAGCACCCAAGCTGCTCCGAGGACCGCCCCGGAGGCGTGGGAGGCGCAATGGCTGCCCCCATGGGTGCAGAGACGGTGTGGGGCACACAGGTGAATAAATGCCAGTGGGTTGCTACTGTGGCCGACCGCCAGGTGTGCCAGAAAGCCTTCTGGCATCGCCCGTCCTCGGGGAGGAGGGATCAGATCTGGGTCCAGAGGCCACACTGCGCAGATTCCTGCCGGGTGGATTTAGTTGCTCCACTGGAAGTTCTCCCCATGTGCTGACAGTGAGTGCAAAGAGAAGCCCTTGTGCAGTGGGGCAGGGGAGATTCCTCAGCCGGCTCCAGGACCGATGTGGCGCTCCGCCTTGCTGGGTGGCGACAGAGGCCCGGGGCCTAGGCTGTCCTCCACAGCGGAGCGGTCGTAGCCGGTGTGTTGCTGCCCCCCCAGACGGCCGGCTCACCCCGAGCGTCCGACCCCCTGCTGCAAGCAGGGCAGGGATGCTGCCGGAGCCTCGCAGCCTTCTGCCGCGTTGTGTGCCCCGCAAGCCGCCAGGCACGCTTCCTGCGCCAGGGCCTTGCAGCTGGCCCCGTGTCGGAAGCAGCCGGTCGCCCTCGGTGAGCCGCGTTCCAGGAGGAGGTGCCTGCGGGAAGCTCTGCAGTCAGCCGACCGAGGCCCGGCAGGCCTCACATCTCCAGCGACGTGGAGGATCCTTTGAGGATCCCTTTGGGATCGAGCTCTGCCGGAGATCTTTTCTTTTCCTCTTGCTATCAGCCCACAGATAACATTGCCTCGGAGAGGCCGAGAGTCCGGGCTGACCTTGGCAGAGCTCATTGGCGCAGAGGCAAGGCCCGCATCCCAAGCGAATGTCGCATCTCCTGTCCCAGAACCTCAAAGCCTTCCTCCATTTTCTCTTGCTAAGCCAATGCAACAGTTTGGTTAACGATTAACTTCAAGTGCAAGTATTCCTGGCGCCATTTTGTTGGCGGAAAAGAAGGCAGAGGGGACGAATGCCATCTTCTGAGCGGGTTCGTGGCTGGCGTGCAGGGGAAGGGCCCCTCTTCACATTTCCTGCCCTCCCTGCAAGCTCCTCCTGGGTCCAAAGGCCCATGCGAGGCAGAGGCCGGCATGCGGCTGACGGCGGCAGCAGGACTGAGGCCATGGCGTTCCTGCAAGGAAAGGTGGCGACAGCGGCTCCGAGCTGCCCGCCCCCTCCTCATTCCTGCGATTTCCTGGAATGCACAACCCAGACCATCCTTCCAGGCCAGGATCTGGGCCAGATTCACTTGCTCCTTTGAAGGACTCCTCCTCCTGGAATTCTGAGGGAAGACAGCAGGGCAGCAGAGGAGATGGGCAGCTGGATTTCCTCTTACCAAATGCACCAGGCGTCTCTCCTGCAGCCTTGCGGAGGCAAGCCTTCCTCTTGGCTCCAGCCGGGTGCCTGCCCTCCCCATTCCTGAATCCAAGCTGCATTCATTTAAGCTCCCTCCTCAGAAAGTTCCTCCGCGACGCCTCCTTTCCTCCTGGCAAGGCCTCGCAAGTGAACCGCAGGATGAAGCCACTCTGGTTCCCGGGCGCCACAACGGGCCGCTCCACAAGGAGCCCCCCTGTCACGAGAAGCCACCCACGCTGCTCAGAGGAGTGGCGGGCACGGCATGGGGAGCAGGGTGGCGGCTCGTTTTCCAGGCTCCTGGTGCATCGGGCATCTGCCCGGGTAGTTGCAGTGCAGAATCACAGCTGGGTCTGCCCTGAGGCTCGGTGTGATGTGGAGCCAGGCTCCTGTGCGGGGGGGAGGGGGGGGTAGGTCAGGGCGATGTGGCAAGGGCCCCCTCTAGCTTCCAGCACTGGCTCTCTCTCGCCACCCCCATCCGGATGGCTGCTCCCTCCTCGGAGGGCGAGCGCTGCAGCAGCCCCTTGCGGGAAAGTGGGAGACGCAGCACAGGGGCTTGACGGAGTGAGAGTCCGGGGGCAGGACCGGCTGCAGAGGGGCTGTGGGGCAAGCACCGCTCCTCCCAGGGGGGTGGGGACCTGCGTCTCCGGTGGGGCTTGGGTGCCGCCCGAGTTGCGTGCAGTGGGCCTTGCGCTCGGTCTCCAGGGCCTCCTGCCAGAGGACAGCGGGTGGCAAGGCTGAAACAGGCCTGCATCAGACCCGGGGGAGCCGAGGCCGGCCTGTGGGCCCGTGACGTGTCTCAGCAGAGAGCCATCTCCAGTGAGGTTGGGACTCTGGGGCTCTCAGGGTGCCGAGGGAGACCACTGGAGTTCCCCACAGTCGCCGCAGCCTTGGTGCTCGAGCCCACCAGCCCGTCTGGACAGCCGCTGCAGCGCTGCACCCCACGCGGTTCCGCCAGAGGCGCCGCCGACGGATCTCCTCTGCGGAAAGCCTGGGCGAGGTCGCGGTGCTCGCCATGATAACGCAAACCGGCCTACGTGCCTGGTGCTAAGTAAACAAGGGATCATAGTACAGTTGCGAGTAAGCCACTCCCATGGGATTTGTCTGCCTGCCAAAAGATTTTTAAAAAGCAACAAAAACCTTCAAAACAGACACGTCCCCAGAGCCAAGAAGCTTGTTTTTCCACCCAGAGCGAGTAGGTGTGCATCCGTGGCGTCGCGCAGTATGTGCCCCCAGGTCGTGACCCTTTTCAGCACGTCAGGATGTGGCCAGCGCCAGCTCCGTGACGGAATCTGGCCAAGCCCTGCTGCTGCAGGAGGAATCTGTGCCCGCGGCCCGAAGGCCGAGGAACGGGCTGGGGAGCTGGGCCCGCCTGGAGGCCCAGAGCTGCACACCACGATCCGCGGGGTCCCCCTCCCCTGGCTAGATGCAAGCGCTGCCCTCGTCCCGAGTGAGTTGGAACTGTGGCACAGGGAGCCCGGCAACTTAGGACCTGTTTCGCGAGGGCTCAGGACTCTCCCCGGCCTCTGCAGCCAGCCCTCGCCACCCCGGCGCGTTGCAAGCAATGCGATCTCCTTCGGCTGCAGCAGGCACCGGAGCGTGGATGCCAAGCAAACTGCAAGAAGAGACCCTGCACAGTCCGCTTGATGTGCAGCTTCCTTCATGTCATAAGTCGTGGCAGGAACGGTGATTAGCTAAGCGGGATGCCGCTCATCAAGACCTAGACCAGCGATGGCGAACCTTTTAGACACCCAGTGCCCAAACTGCAATCCAAACCCTACTTATTTATCACAAAGTCCCAGCAGTGCAATAAAACCTGAAAACTGAGGTTTTACTGTAGAAGAAGCAACTCACAGCCAGTCTAAGCAATATAGATATAGATATAGATATAGATATATCTCCTTGGCAGCCACTGACCAGCCGTGCAAAAGCTCGGATGAGTCGCGGCTCGTGACGTCATCGCCTGGCGCCACTACTCCTTTCCGAGCGTGCGCAGGGCCCCTGTGTGCGCTGTTACCCGATGCTTGGCTGCTGGGGCGATGCTGGGGCGACTTGGCTCGCGTGCCGACAGAGAGGGCTCTGCGTGCCCGCTGTGGCACGCATGCCATAGGTTCACCACCACTGGTCTAGACAGTAATTATTAAATTGATTCCTGCATCAGCAGAAAAGTTGGACCCTGCTGCAAAGACGAACAAAGCCAGCTCTTTGGAATCAGATGCGCAGCAGCTGGCTCGTGGGCCCCTGGTTTGTTACTGAATGGCCAGAAGGCTGCTACCAGTCAGGGATTCGCTTTCTTGTGAAGGGAGCACCCCAGTAAATCCCGGGACCCTGCAGGCACAGTGTCCCATTGGCCCCAACCCCCTCCACACGGTTCGGCCGCAGCAGAGGGAACGGAGGCAGATGGCAAGGGGCCACCCGCACCCTGCCACTGCGCCTGTGCCAGCGGCTGGGGGAGCCCGCACTCTGGCCTCCGGCCTTGCGTGGGTGAAGTCAGGTTTTTGCATTGCACAAGCCCCTTCCCAGCCTCCCTGTGCAGGTACCGCGTGGCTCCCGCCCCCCGCCCCCTCTTGTGTCGGTCCCGTGCAGGGACACCTTCGTTCTGCCCCGGCATGGGCCCTTCCTGGGGCTGCGCCAGCAGGGATGAGATCACGCACAAGGAGCTCGGGTGCCCAGCGCCTTCACGAGGAGGCAGACATGTAGCTGTGAAGGGAGACGGGCAGCAGACGAAGGGAGCCTTCCCCGTCCCCCGAAGAGGCCCGTGGCTGCTTGCATGCGGCTCTGTGTGGGCCAGGCTGGCCAGGAAAGGGGCTCCCGTGCGGCTTCTCTGGGCAATTCTTGGAGATACGAGGGGGGCGCAACCTGAGACGATAATACAGTGGTCATCCAGGTGCGCTGGAGCCTCTGGTTCTCCCACTGGAGGCAGGAAGGGTGCGCCGTCCATTCACAGACGCGTGCTTCATGGGGCTAGTCCACAAGGTGGTTTTCCACTGCTAACACACTTGCCCAAACGTCTTGCTAAAAGTAGCGATTTTGGGGATGTGACAACGGGTCGTCTTGTTTCATCCCACAAGAAGTGCGTGGGCTGCTGGGGTGCACAGCCCGCGGTTGCCGCTGGTGCCCTTGCTGCCGTTGGCCCTGCTGCTGGGGCTGATGGGAGTCACACATCCCGAGGGAGGGCATCGGGCTGCGGGACACGAACTGACACGGCCCAGCCTGCCCTGCCCGCATCCCGGCGTCCCTGCTGGGCACCATTCCAGTCCCGAACCAGCCTCGCAGGGGGACGCCCTGTCTGGCGAGGAGCAGGACGCGCTGTGCTCGGTCGCCAGCCCAGCCCGGGATTTTGCAAGACCGGGAATAGACTGGGGCCAGTCCATTGTCTGTGCGTATTTCCTGGTCGGCCAGTCAAAACCGCAGGCGGCCGCTTCCTCCTTCGAAAGCAGAGCTCCAAAGCGAGCCCCGTGGCAGGGGAGGGGCGGGGACGCGCACGCCTCGCGGCCCCCCCCCTCGGATCCGCCGCCCCGGGGGCTGCCTGGCAGCCCTCCTGCTTCCGCCCGCTGTGAGGGGGCGCCAGGCTGCGGGAGCGCCTTGGGGCCTCCAGGGAGGCACCAGAGGGCGGGCGGCTGGCAGGGCCGGGCCGGGCCGGGCCGGGCGTCCCTCTGGCAGGGCGGACGGGGCAGCAGCTCGGCCCCTCCTGGTTCCCGGGCACAGCGAGCTCCAGAAGAAAGAAAGGGAATGGCAGCAAACAGAAACTGGCTGAGCTTGAGGTCAATACCAAGACTGAATGATCTGAGGAGCAAATATTTGCCTTGGTCAATATTTTACCAGGGAGACAATAAAGATTGACATTGAGCCAAACAACTATATAGGTACATTCTATTTTTTAAGAACCGTATCTTTTGAAGGAATGCAGCCAAAGTGGTTGATGGAGCTTTTAATTCGAGCTTTTCCTCTCAGTCTTTTGTAAAAGCGATTTGGGAGATGGAAAATGCTATTTCTTCAACTCCTCCAAACCCCGGTATGCATGCGCTGACAAGCAGGGGGCTTTCTTGCATCATATGGATGTCTTTTAGGGGAACCTCCTCGTCCTCCTGGCACTTCCCCCAGCACTCTTTGGCCTGTTGCCTCTTCCCGCAGCTCGCAGTGATCAAAGGCTATATTTTTCTATTGTGCAGGAAAATCTATCAGGAACGTTTGGGCAGGCGGCTCCTGGAGCCAAGGCGTTAAACCGGCCCACTCCTAGTCAAGCGACCAATGGCTGGAAGCCCTACAAGGAAGGGCCCACCGCTCAAGCAGGGGCAGCCCTGCCAGGGCGGCCAGCGGCCGGGAGCCGCTGGGAAGCTGCCCCATCGCCCAGGACGGCGCTCCGGGAAGCGTGGGCAGAGGCGCGTGCGAGGCACATCTGCCACATCGACTGTGCTTGGGGCTGCAGCAAGATGCGGGAAAGCACCTGGCTTGGCCTACAAGCCTCCCTGTTTATGACCCGTTTGATTTCTTCCATCCCATCCCAACCCAACTCCCAACTCCCTCCTCACAAGTAAAGCTGCAGTAGGTCAGGGCATGCAGCATCCGCCACAAATGGGTGGGGAAGATCACGGGCATCCCCTCTGCACGCGCCCCTCAGCATTCCCAGGCTAGACTGCCGGAGGCGCCCGGCTGCCGGATCAGGCCCAAGCCGCGTCCAGTCCACCCCTTGTTCGCACAGCAGCCACCCGGGCGCGTCCCCTTCCAAAGGAGCCGCTCACAGTCATGGGCAGCTTCCATCTCCTCACGTTTGTCTGAGCCCCTTTAAAGAGGCCCAAACTGTGGCCAAGGATGGTAAACAGAGAGGAATCGGACTGTTGCCACCACGCTCTGTGATGAAGCCATTCCTTTAATCTGGCCCGGCCTCGTCAGGCCACGCTGGGTTGGCACCTCCAGCTACCCTGGGCACCTCCCTGCCGGCAGGCATGACGGGCAAGGGATGCCGCCTGGACTTTGGTCAGACGGTGGCTGGGATGCCCATGTGGGGACTTCCTGGGCATCATGTGGGGTATCGGGCAGAAGGGAATCCCATATGAGCTGAACTAATGAGGGTCTCTCTAGTCTGCCATTGGCCTAGTTGAGGACCATGGAAAGCCCCCTTCTCCAAACAGGACACGAAAGGAAGGATTTAGCAGTCTGTGTGCTCCTTTTGTGGAGTGAAGGACAGGGGAATCCACTCCTCAGACCACACGACCGGACCAAAATTACGAAGGATGGCAAAGTGGAGGGATCAGGGTGGTGCTAGGTCTGGGAAGGGGCTGGGATGGACGCTGGGCACCTTCTGAATCGAAGAGGGAGGGGCCGGCACTGCCTGGGAGGTGACCGATTTGGGCGGTGGTGGAAGTGTGGACCGCCTGGTCTCGGTGCCCTTCCACAGCCCAGCAAGTGGGGCATTCTGTAGCTTAGGAATGCTTGGCATTTGAATCCGTAGCTGCTTCCCTGGTACGGCCTAGCAGGGAACTGCTCCTGGTTTAAAAATAACTACCTGGAAAAGCGCAGGCCCGAGCTGGACGGCGAGAACCAAGAGGCACCAGGACAAGGAACGCCGGCGTGGCCGCTGGGGGCAGGTGGCCGCCCTCGCCCGGACGAGCACCCGTCCTGTGCCCCCTCGCTGCGGGAACTGGCCACCCATTCGGCTTCCCTCTGGGAGTCTGGCTGATCGGATCTCTCGGAACAGAAGGCCTGCAGCCTGGTTCTTCTGTTTCTTCCTCTGCTGTTAGTAACATTTAGTCCTCGCCTTATTTACTACAGAGGCATAAGCCACTCCTGAACGCTTAGGCCAGGTCTGAGCCAAATGACCCACCCCTTAAAGCTGCCGCTTTGAGTTTTCAGCAGCAGCCAGGTGCTCCCAGCATTCACGGGGGCCAAGGTGGGCAGTGCCCCGCCGTGATCCTCAGGAAAACATCCCTCCCTGCCCCATGGCAGAGGCTGCAGTGGCCCCAGAGAGCGGGTGCAGCACGAGGCCCTTGGCCCGGCCCGGCGGGAGGGGCTCATCCTGGGCCCCCGCTTGAGCCCAGCGCCCAGTCCCCACAAAGTGCACTTGCGAACGGCCTGCGCACACCAACCTGTGCGACGAGACACCAGGAAAGGGGGGGTTGCATCCGAGGGGCAGCAGGACCCCCAGCTGAGGGGGGCCGTGAGCGTGGCCCGTAAAGTCCATCGTCCTTTGCTCACGCGGCGCTCCTTGTCTGCCCCTCCCTTCAGGCCCGCTCCGAAATGGACAAGTACCTCTCTGGCCAGCTGCTGCCCGTGCCGACATTGCCGGACAAGAAGTACCGCCGGGAGAGCGCCTCGGTGGTGGACGAGTACTTCTCCACCGAGAAGCCGCCCTCGGTCCCCTACAGCGTGAACATCAACGTGATCCTGCCGGACACCACGCACCTGCGCACGGGGCTCTACCGGCCCGCCAAGCCCCTTGCGCCCTTCCCCCAGGTCAAGATGGAGCCCGGAGCCGGCTTCGCCCACCCCTGCTCCTCTGCCGCCGCGGCCACCCAGACTCTGCCGGACTTCACCAGCGTCTTCAGCATGCCGCAGTCCGTGGCGGCCAGCCACGTCTTCGTCAAGCAGGAGGCGCCCTCCGAGGTCCCGCTCGCCTCCGGCCTGCTGTACCAGCTGCCCGGCAGCGGCGGCGGCGGGGAGATGACCACCATGGCGCACTCCACGTGCGGCACCACGGCCATCAGCGCCATCCACGGGGTGGCCATGTCCACCGGCAGCCCCTTGCTGGACTCCAGGCCCCTCTCGCGGCCCAGCCGGCCAGCGGGCCCGGTGAAGCCCTTCCCTGAGCAGGGCGGCTTCGGCCTGCTGAGTGAGTTCTTCCCAGCCCCCGGAGTGAGCCTGCCCCCCTCGCCCCCGAACTCACAGCCCGGCAGCCCCGAGAACCAGCCGGAGCTGATCAACACCATCTCGCCGCCGCCCCCCTACGACGCCGCCTTCGGACTCAGCCTGCCCGCGCCGGGCCAGGGGCCTCCGCTCCCCAGCGGCCTCGCCGCCCTCTCCCAGGGCCACGGCGTCCTGCAGCCGCCCAAGTACAACCGCAGGAACAACCCCGAGCTGGAGAAGAGGCGGATCCACCACTGCGATTACCCTGGTAAGGCCCGACCGCACTCTTGGCTGGCCCCGAAATGTGGCCGCTCGCGGGGAGCCCGTCAGCTGTCCGGGGGGCTCAGAGTGCTTGGGAGCCGTCCCGGGGCCTCCACCAGGGCCGGACACGCGGGCAGAGGGCCTGCCAGGCCCTGCGGAGCAGCCCCAAGCGCACCCGGCTCTCTGCGAGGGGCCCGCCAGTGCCTCTGGGGACCCAGTGGCCCCTTGAGCCCGGGGTGACGCATGTGACCGCGGGAGAGGCCCTGGAACGGTCCTCGGAGCCTTCAGCGGCATGCTGCCGTCGGCGTCCCCGCCTTTCCAAACCAGCCGTTCCAGTGCAGGTCACGCTGCCTCCCTCCTTCCCAGTACAGAGCTGACCGAAGTGGCGTGGGGGAGACAGACGGGGGTGGTGCAGCCCAGCCCTAGGGCAGGGCAGGTGGGGGGCTGGGGGCCAGCAAGGGCTGCTCTGGCTACTGGATCCTCCACACTCTCCCGACTGGGAAAGGGGCACTGTGCCGCCTGCCGAATGCTTGGCTGGCCCCCGGCAGGCTGGCTTCTGAACGCTGCCCTGCATGTAAACACACTAGGCCTGGACTGTGTTTGCTTGCTTGCTTAATTAATTAAGTTAGAGCCCTGGACTCTCGTGGCGGGTTGAACATGTACGGTGGAAGAGCTGGAACACCCAGCAAGGCTCAGAGCCGCTTTTGGTCGAGGCTGGTGGGGATGTGCAGGACACGGCAGCACTCGTGGCGCCCTCCCAGGCCTTGAGACGGAAAACTGAGATCAGTGTTGCTGGGGGACCACAACCCAACCCCCCCCCCATTTAGAATGTGCTGGAATTCTGAGAAATCACACACCTGAGCTTTGCTCCAGGAAGCCGCCGTTTTTTCACGACCGTCATGCAGGCGTGTCCTGCGCACACGACGCCTGCATTTGGTGAGCCTCGTAAAACACGTCCATCACCCGCAACTCAGAAGGGCCCTGATGGGCCTCACCTCAGCCTTGGCAAATGAGCTGGTGCACCGAACGGGCTGACCCGGCAGGCGCTCGCCTCTTCCCCGGTTCACCTTTCCGGTTCTCTTACAGGCTGCACAAAGGTTTACACCAAAAGTTCGCACCTGAAGGCACATCAGAGGACTCACACTGGTACGTTCCTGGGGCCAGCTCTGGAGTGGGCTTTATCTGGAGGGGAGCAGTTTGCGAAACATGCAACTAGCTTGTCCATTTCAGGATCACCAAAGGAGGGATTTTGGAGGGGGTTGTTACAAACACTGCTCTTATTTTTCCATTTCCAAAGCTAGCTTGCTTGCTTTCTTCCTTCCTTGCTTCCTTGCTTCCTTCCTTCTTTCCTTCCTGTACTATCTTTCAGGGATTCTATAGCTGGCAATTATTACTGTGCATGTTTAAAAGCCACGGGCATTCCAGAGGACGTTTGTCCGGTTGTTGAGCCCAACCGTGCTGAAGAAGGGCCGGGAACACCCTGTGCGGTTCCTGTGCCTTCCGTCTCTGCAGCAGGTGGACTGGGGCAGCTCCGTCTCACAGCCCCGCAAGCTCCATCCAGGGTGGAAACAACACCATCCAACCTTACGGAGTCCTTCCAAAAGTGGCAGGGAAGAGGCCAACACGGCCTGCAGGGCGGGAGGATGGGACCCAGCACAGTGCAGGATCTGGAGGGCCACACGTACCCACCCCACACCGAAAAGCATGCAGAGAAGCACCCCGGGCTGGCAAGGGCAGTGTCTGCATGTGGGTGCCTCTGCAAGGGGGGAGGGTCCCTGGGCAGGGGGCTGCTGGAGTGCCAGGGGGGCCTCGCCCCGCTTAGCCCTGTCCTCCCCAGGCTGTCGGGCTCCGAGGGTGGCGGACTTGCAGAGCCCGAGGGGGGCTCCTTGGGCAGACCTCCCCGTGCCCCTGGAGGAGCCTCGCTCCCCGTCCTCCAGAGCACTGAGCGCTCGGGTGAGCCACTGCGGGGCCCCTCCCCACTTCCCGCCATGTGCATGCGCACTGCCAAATCCCGGCGCACTGGCGGGAGGCTCACCCTGCTATGCTATTTTTAACGATTCGGCTTCGGAGGATGAAGCCTCGCGAGGCTGCTCAGCTGCAAGCTGCGGCTCAGTCCCGGGACTCAGCCGGGGAGGCTGAGAAGAGCTTAGCCCCAGAGCGGCTGGGGACGCCGGCCACACGGCTGTGGGAACGACGGGAGACCAGCCCACGGGAGGGGCGGTTGAGATGGGAGCTCCTTCAGGGGGACCTCTGGGACATGTCTGCACCGTGGGGTGGACCCAGGGGCTTGGTGCCAGCACTGGCCAGAAGCCCAACTGGGGGTGAGGTGGGTGAAGCGGTGCGGTGCCCATCTCCATGGCACTCCTCCGCCAGGGTCAGGGCACAGGCAGGTTCCCAAGGAGAGCTTTGGGAAGCGAGCAGCAGAGAGGTTCGGCTCAGAGACCCGTCCAGCTTATTAAGCACAGAAAGCGTCTGGGACGAGTGCCCGTCGGAGGGCGAAACAGCGCAGGGCACCGCCTGGGCAGGCCGCCCCAGAGCGCTGCAGGCAGGCCAGGCGTTCTCCGAGAGGACTGCCTGCGGGGACAGATGCTGCCGGCTGGGCTGGGAGCACCGCAGGGGGGCCTCGTCCCGCCACCTGCACCAGGGCCCCCCACCGGGAGCTGCACCGGCGGCTTGGCTATTCTCCCCAGAAGACCCTGAGTGGGCCGGGGTGGGGGTTCCAGTGCATGACGTGCCGCTGACGTGCAGGAGGCCGTGCGTGGTGAAATATGCGGCCTGGCCAGCGACTGGGCGTGGAGCAGCCATTGTTTGCAGTCGCCCTGGAGCAGGAGCCGCTCCGCCGGGCAATGGCGAGCGTGAGGTTCCCATCCGCGAACCCAGCTCGGCCATTGTCTGGCGCAGAGAATGACCCCTCCCGGAACAATGGCTGCGCCGAGCCGGCCTCCCCTTCCCTGCTGTGCCGAGCATATCTTGTGAGCGCTGCCTTCCGCAGGCGTTCGTGGCCTGCTCCGCAGTGCCTCGGCCGGCCGTTCCCCGCAGCCGGAAGCCTGCGCTTTGTTCCGGCCATCACCAGGCGGGGACTGGCTCTGCGTTCGCTTGGGTAGACCCGGGAGCCAGCAAGCCTCGCTGGAGTCAGGCGTGCTTTTCAGACCCTGCAGGTGTCTTGCTGGCTGAGGCTGTCTGGCGCAGTGGTTAGAGCCTCCCTCTTCCACCAGGGCAGCGCTGCCTTGGGTGGCAAACGCCACGCGAGGGGCTCCCGCGACACCCAGAGCAGCTGGGGCTGCCCCGCGGGAGCTGACCGGTCCTCCTCTGACCCCTGCAGGTGAGAAGCCCTACAAGTGCAGCTGGGAGGGGTGCGACTGGCGCTTCGCCCGCTCCGACGAGCTCACCCGGCACTTCCGCAAGCACACGGGTGCCAAGCCGTTCAAGTGCCTCGCCTGCGGGCGCTGCTTCTCCCGCTCCGACCACCTGGCCCTGCACATGAAGAGGCACCAGAACTGAGGGCGGCGCTTCCCCGCCCGGCCCGTGTACATAGCCGCCCCGCACTGCGGTCGCGCCCCGCATGCCGGCCTCCCAGCTTCGCTTCGCCGTTTGGTGCCGCGGATTCGCTCGAGGCCACGGCTCCAGAGGAAGACCTCGGCCCAGGCGGGGAGGAGCGCCCCCACCCAAGGAGTCCCTCCTGCGCTCCAGAAGCGCCCTATTTATGTTGGCTTCTCCAACGCGCTGGGGGCGGCGGGGGAGCTTCTGTCCCAGCCGCCCACCGGCTGCGCCGAGGGGGCATGTCGCCAGGCCTTGAGCCCGCGAGGGGCGCCCCCGGGCCATTCCGCTCCTGGACAAGCCTTGCCGGCAGAGGGCAGTGGGGAAGGCCCTCGCACGCCCGTTCCCGAAGGCACCGGCGCCATCAGCCCGCAGCGCTCTTCGCGGGGGCCCTTTGGAGTACCGAGGAAGGGAAAGACGCGGTGCCCTGTGAGACGCAGCAGCTCCCTGTGCTCGGAAAACTGACCCCGCAGACAAAACTGATCCTTCCCTGGCAGGCAGTCCTTTCTCTTTCCTCCTTTCCCTTGCCAGGGGCGGATTTTTCCAAATGCTCGCAGCAGCCATGGAAGCAACGCCTGCTGCTGTTTTCGCCTTCCCCTCCCTCAAGCCTTCGTGGCCTCGGTGGAACCCGCAACGGGCCGCCACGTACTGCAGCGGGCCTGGAGCCCCACAGCGCATGGAGGGGCAGCCCAGAGGAGCAGGCGAGGATGAGCGCAAAGCGGCAAGGAGGGGCCGCCCCCTGCCCTGGCTAGGGCTTCCCTCTGCGCCTGAACGGCTGCCCCCAGGCAGAGCGACCAGCCCTGGCCAGCTTGGGGGAAGCGGTGCCTTGCCTTGCTTGGAACCTGCCAGGGAGGAGCAAGGTCGCCCCCCTCCATCGCAGCGCCTTGATTCGGTGCCTGGCCGTGGCTGACGGATCGTCTGCAGGGCCCCCGTGAGTGCTGCCCCAGCCAAATCGGCCGTGATGCCGAGCATGGGGGCCCAGGCCTGCGTTGCCCCTCAGGGCACGATCTCCCGTGACAGGACGACCTCGCTCCGGCAGCCGGGGCCTGTGGGGGCATCCCAGTGCGGGCGAGAGTGAGCGAGAACGGGGCGTGCAAGTGCGGGGTGGGCGCTGGTGCTACTCTGCCCCCCCATTGCACAGGCGGGTGGATGCCGATGGTGTCCAGACCGTGGGGGGGACGGCAGCTGGCCCAGGCCCAGGCCCAGGCCCGCCTTCTGGTCCCAGCGAGGTCCAGCCGGTGCCTTGGGCAGCGTGACGGAGCAGCCCCCCTCTTGCGCCCGCCTCGATACAGGAGGGGCGCGCGACGCGAGGGCTCGCATCCGCCGGGAGCCCCTCCAGCGAGGCGATGCGCTTTGCACGCGTGTGCTGGGCTGCTGCGCACACCGAGCTGGGCAGGGCAGCGCCTGCTCACAGAGCAGCGGTCCGTCCTCCGCCTTCTGCCCTGTTCCCACTCCTGCAACAAAATCTCGAGGCGATTCTGCCAAGTCTGGCAGCTTCCAAGGGTCCGAACAGACGCACCTCCGGGGGGGGGGCAGCACAGCTTCTCTCGGGTTGAGGGGCACGTGGCTGGCAGCGCATCTGTTTATACGATGTGTTCATATGTGACGTTATCGCTCCCAAAGTGCTTACACTTGGCTGGGCTGTGCCCTCGCTTTCTGCATTTGAGTCACATAGATCATCAGGGAGTCACGCACGTGCCAGACTTTCCAGGAGACACCGGGGCCTTGGACCAGCTGCCCCTGTTGGGCTGCTGGGAGTTCAGGTCTGGCTCGACAGTTCAGCAATTTGGCGGTCAGCCTGGGTGCAGTGGGCTGCTTCGAGCGCCAGCTCGCCCGTTGCCATGCGCCAGGATTTTCCACAGCCACGTGCTCCTTGTCCAGGCTGGGGGGGGGCATGTCCCAAGCGGCTCCCTGCCATGGGGGCTCCCACCCCCTCCCAGCGCTGCTGGGTGAGCGCGTGGGACCTGCAGGCATCTCGGCCCGGACAGGCAGGGAGCTCCTCGGCCAGGGAGACAGCTCTCGTTCCCAGAAGGCTCTTCTTCCCCTTTCCATGCCCAGCAGTGTGGGGAGGAAGGCGGAGCCGGACGAGCAGGCGGACCCCCCGTGCGTGTGTGCGTGCGTGCGTGCGCACACGGTGGCCCACCAGCAGAGCGCAGCTGCATGCGGCACCCACAGCCGGGGACCGCCGAGAAAGCCCCCTCTGCTCCCCACGCACGGCCGGGGAGGTGCGGCCCTGGGCGGGCTGAGCCACCCCCTGGGCGTTGCGAAGGGAACTCGCCCTGAGCCCGTCGCCTGGCCCTTCCGTCCCGTGGGCAGGGAGGGGCTCAGAGGCATCGCAGCCACCCCTCCCCAGAGATGGCAGCGGGACTCTTGCCCTGGCGCCGGATGTGCTCTGGAGACGCTTCATGCTCAGCTGTGCTCTTCTCCCATCCCTGACTCACTGCCCTTTGCAGGGGTTAGACTTCCAGACTTCCAGCAGGAAGGAATGCTGGCAAACACAGCCCAGAACATTTGGAGGGTCGTTGGGCGGGGGAACGCTGTGCCCAGGGCTCAGAAGCCCCCCCCCCCCATGCTCTCTCTCCCGCTACGGCATTCCCAGGACACAGGAGAGGACAGGCGGCTGTCGCTCGGACCCCGGCCTTCCCGGAGACATCCGGCTGCTGCCCAGCCTTGGAAAACCCCGGGGAATCTGCCGTCTCCCAGATCGCACGCCGTTTCCCCAAGCCCAGAGCAGGGATCTCACAGGCTCCGGGACCTGAGCAACCCCCAGCCGTCAAGGCCCATTTCCTCGCGGGGAGCCGCTCCAGGGGCATCTGGGGGCTTGGCCAGCGCGTCTCCCCGGTCGCTCTCCTTCCTCCCCTGAGAACCCGCGGCATCGCTGTATATAGCAAGGATGCCTGCACAATTTTTTAATGTGCAAATGTAAAAGGAAGCTTTCCTTGTGTGTGAGTGTGCGTGTGCGTGTGTGTGTGGGCGCACATGCAAGGCATGAATGCCAAAAGTGGACCCTAAACCACTTGCTTCTTCCAATGTACATGTATATAATTTACCTGCTATTTTGTAATAAAACCATTACGAGGACCAAAGGGTGGCATCCATCCTTCCAAAGGCCTGGATCCGTCCCTCGCCGCAGCCCACTCCAAACCCACACAGGCCCTCCAACCCTGGCGCAGCCTTCCCAGCCTCTCGAATTCGTGGGCAGCCACTCCTAGATGCTGGGAACTGTAGTCCGACCTGTTTGGGGGGAAGCAGGCTGAGGAACCCGCCCCCCCCCCCCCCCCTCCCGGTCAGGGCTCAGCAGACTTCTCTGCAGGCGGCCCACAGGCCGAGCTGGAGTCCCAAGGCAGGCGACTTGCCCCTTCCCTGAGCAGCCGCCTTCTCCAGCTGGTTGCTGCTCTCCCGGAGGCAGGCCCAGTGGAGACAAGCTCCCAGGCCTGCTGCTTCTGGGCAGGCAGATTTGGAAGAATGAATCTCTCCCCCTAGTCTTTTTAAAGAATTGAATGCATAAAAATAAACACAGATCTACTGTCGCCTTGGCTTCTGGTCCCTTGCGGGAGTCACACTCCGTGTGCGGGCGGGGGGATATTTCTGCACAATGAAATCAGGAGGCGTGTTTCACCCGTGCCTGAGAGCGGGTGCGCATGCCCAGGGACAGTGCGCGGGCCGGTGCTGGCGAAGGCCGGAAGCGGGAGGAGGAGGCCAAAGTTGTGCCACACCTGCGCTGGGTACTTTGGGCAAGGCCCTCGGGGGCCTCACCAGCTGCCCTTCCTCCTCCTCCTCCTCCTCCTGAGGGCCACCACTGGCCTGCCTGGGCGGCAGAAACCCAGGGAGCGGGAGGGCTGCGGGGCTGCCCTTCCTTCCCCATCGCGGCCCGGGCCTCCCTGAGCGGCAGCCTGCGGGGCTGGAGAGCAGGCGTCTGGGGTGACACACGGCCTCCGAGGTACCCGCTTCCCCAGCTGGAAGGACCTCCCCAAATCTCCTGCCTGCCTCAGCCGTCATAGCTGGGGGGCAGGGGGGAGGATGACGATGGGAGCCTGGGGGCCCCGAGCTGCTGTCCGCGGCTGGGGTGCTTGCGGGACCTTCTGCTGGCCTCACTCTCTGAGCTGGGCCCGGGTGCTTGGGGCACTCGGACCCATGGGCTGGAGATCGGTGTTGGGGGCCGGAGGCAGACGAGGGAGCTGGGCGCCGCAGGATGCCGGGAGGATGGCACTGATTCCCCGGGTGGGGGGGGCAGCTGCTCCTGGCCAGAAATGAGGGCAAAAGAGGGCACGCTGGCACGCAGCCTGCTTCTGCCGGCATGCCCGTGGGGAGGGCTGGAACCTTGGAAGCCAGGGTCGTGCCGGGAGCAGACGGGCAGGGCGCTCTCCCACGAGCGAGCGGACTGCCTGGGGTCTGGGAGCAGCAACCTCAGGGCCCTTTGCTGCTGCTTCTGAGGGCTCTTGGTCGGTCACCCGGCCTGGACTGGGCAGCCCTTCCCTGAGCGGACAGTCCTCTGCAAAGAGAACACCCAGGCACCCTGCCGTGCTGAAGAAGAACCACCAGGATGCTGTTCCACGGCCAAGGCGAGGAAGCAGGAGGGCTGCCCGGGCTACTCGTGAGGAGAGCGCAGAAAGCGGTGGGGTCTGCTCGGCCCATGGCAACCCTTCTCCCTGCACGGCAGTCGAATAGCCGTGTCCTTCCCAGCTGGGCCCAGGGGAAGCCAGCAAAGCCAGCCGTGCCGGACTGCGGTTCGAGGCTGGGCACCGACGTGCCTGTGGTGCTTCCTGTGGCAAGGGCTGCCCCCCCGGCCCCGGTTCCCCAGCACTGGTGTGCACTTGGGTTCAGGGCTGGCACACCCTCTCGCCACACGGAAGTCCCCACTCTTCCCGAAGAACTGGAGCAGCCGTTCACGCCTCCCCTTCGTGCGAACCGTTCACACGTCCCCTTGGCAGCCTTGCCTGCTGCCCGGGGCTTCTGGAAGCAGAGTGATGCATCGACCCCGGGGGGAGGGAGGAGGGGGCGCTCAGAGCCAGGGAAGGGGCCGGCCCTCGCACACAGCACCGCCTCTGCGCCCTTGCTCTGAGGGAGGCGCGAGTGGGAGGGCTGCCTCTGGGGCGGCCCCCACTCTGGCACAAGCTCCTCACTGTGGGCAGGCAGGTACCAAACCTGCCATCTTTTTGGCATCGGCTGAGATGGCCCTCTTTCCCCAGGCTCGCTTGGACACTGAGAGGTCTGAAGGCAATTAACCACCCCAGTGTTTCTGCAGAGTCTGCTTGTTACTGTGCGCCTATTTTCCTTTTGTGGTTGTTTTTCTGATTCTTACTGCATCTGTGGCTTGCTGCAAACACCAAGAGAGCTTTGGGCGTGGGTGGTACGGAGACGCAGCAGGCAAGAGAGGGCTGGCGCTGCATGTCACAGCCCCGCTGCAGCAGCTTGCGCGGCTTCTGGGAGCCCGGGCAACTCTGAGCTTCCCACCTCTGGGGGCACTTCTGACAGAGGACTCCTGCAGCCCCCTGCCCAGAGGCCCGCGGGGCTAGTCCATCTTTTCCCCCTCGCTTTTTTTCGGGTGTGGAGGAAACAGGATGTAAAACGTGCTGGGAAGGCACTGGGCAGGGGCAGGGACTGACAAGTGGAAGGACGCATAATCTGGGCTGCCAGAACTTCCGTGAATGAGCCGCTGTGAGCGCACAACCAAGCCTCTTCGAGAAGCCCCTGCCCGGCTGCAGGGCCCAGCCTTTTTGAGGGGGGCATCTGGATGAGGGGTCCCTCACACAAGCCACGAGAGGCGTTTGTGCTGCCGCAGCTGCACGTCTCTTCCTTCGTGGACTTTGGCGGCAAGAAAGGGGATGAAAGGCGCGGTGGGAGAACATGGGACAGGGCCAACAGGACCCGCGTGGGATGGAAGCCTTGCCTGGAAGCCCCCGACAGCAGCAGGGCGCGACCTCCAGAAATGGAGGCACCGCTAGCAGTGCTCTTCTCTTTCGAGGGGGGCAGGCTTGGAATGGGTGGCGATTCCACAGGCTCACCAGCCTTGCCCAGCTTAGCACATGTGCATGTACCCACCGTGGTCCATGCGCTTCATCACCCTCTTAAAAAATCTGTCTACAGTGCTAAAACCGTCAGCTTTCACCAGCACGCACAGGAAACGGCCTCATCTGCAGGAAAACCCTGCGCTCGGCCACCCCCGTACTGCCAGCCGCTCCAGCGTTTCAGGCTGGAGGTTTTCTGCACCTGCCGAAGACGTTGCATGAGAACAGTTCTGGGGCTTTCTGCAAGCAAACAGGGGCTCCATCTCCAAGCATTGATCTTTCTCCGCTCGCACTGAAGAGAAGAACCTTTCCAGGAACTGCCATTTTAATAGTGGAAACTGGACTGATTTTCCTTTTTCTTTTTTTGGAAAAAATGTATTTTAAAATTACCATTAAAGATACATAGTACTGGGGCAGGCAAGCGGTTTTCAGCATCTGGTAAGACTTTCTTATTTAAACATCCCTTTCCTGAGTAAAAAACCATCTATGGTTCTACTGGTATCCTTTTGAATTGTAGCATGCTTTACTACTTTTCACAGCTCCGGAATTTTTTTCTAATAGAGAATGGTTGCTGTACACTGTCAAACAGCCCTACAAGGCCATTTTTTTAAAAAATCTTCTGAGTGGGGCCAAGGGCACTTATGAATGTGCACACAGAAAAAGGTACACCGCGTTCCTGACCATCTGGAATGCCACAGCTCAAAGCAGAGAGCCGTCTCTTCAGAAGCACCCCTTGGCTTCGGCTCGCATTTACCACCAACCAATGGTGGGAGCAGACATTAAGCTGCGCAGCCCTGGCAGGAGAGGAGCCGGCCGTGGGGACCACTCACGCATCTGCGTCCCTCGGCCCCGTTCCTATGCTGGCCAACGGCTGGAGCGCCACTGCGCAGCAACAGCTGGCACCGGCTGTCCCGGACGGCCAGGGAGCCGCGGAGGCACCACCCTGCCGGCGCAGGGCTGGGAGGGAGGGAAGAGCACGGGGCAGCTCGTGCTTTGCAGGCCCGGCCTCTCTGGCCCAACCAGGAGCCCTCGCGTGGGAGCATCTCCTGCGGCCCAGGAGCCTGGCACTGCTGCCGCAAGCCGGCAGCGCCCTGGCCGCGGGGACAAGCAGCGCCGGCAAGGCCTTTGGCGCCCTCTGCTGGCAGAAAGCAACAGCACGGCCCAGTTGGTCTGGCCGCCTCAGCGGGTTTGGACTCCCCTGCACACCCACCGCTGCCGCCTTTCGACTGGCCCCCCGCTGAAAAAGTTTGAGGACCGCCAGTCAGAAGGATTCCAGCGGGGTGGGACCAGGCCGGGGGGCCCCTGCCCAGCATCCCATTCCGACAGTGTCCAACCAGCTGCCCCAACGGGGAGGCCCGGAGGACCCACGGCAGCCCTTGGGACAGTCGCACTGCCCCAGGCCGGAGGCACCGGAGCGCCATCAAAATGAGCTGCTGGGGATGGGAAAGCGGCAGCACTGCCACAGGTGGACGACGCACCCGCCCAGCCACCATGCGCTGAAAATCCGGCCTGGCCCCGGGCCGAGGCCCTAGCGCGAAAACGAGGCTTACGCGGAGGCCCTGCGCCTTCCAGCACGGGAAAGGGCGGTGGATTTCCCATTTCCTGGGACGCCGGCACAGAACACACGGTTGTCTGAACACCGGGACCCTTCGCGCTTTAGTAGCGACCGTCACAAGATGGCCGGGAGCAGGACCAGCTCAAAGGAGCAGGGCAGCGCACCCCAGGGCCCCCCTCCAGGCTCCACCAGCCCCCATCTCCTCTTGGCCCCTTTCGCCCCGAATACGGCTGGGGGAAAGCGCCGCCCCCCTTCCCCGGGTTGGAAAGCTGCAAATGGCCGAGCGCTGTTTGCATGACTGGAGCAAAGGCCCAGGACCGCCTGGGGAGGCCCCCGAGGCTTTCGGCCCATGGGGCTCCTTGCTGGGGGCAGGACGGCTCCACCCTGCCTGTGCCCAGCGCCCAGGCACGCAAGCGACACAAGCTGCTTGGCAGCTGCCGCAGGGACGACGTTTCGGGAGGACGAAGCTTGGCTGCAGCTGCTGGAGTCAGTTCTGAAGGCACGGGAGCGCAAGGCAGCCGTAGGTGAGCTGTGGCAGGTCACGCCTCACGAGCAGACACAAACCTGCGGAAGCTGCTGGGGAAGTGGCCACAGCAGAGGAAAACAGGGAGGGCCAGGAGGAGGAAAAGCGAGAAAAACACACGCTCACACAGGTGTTCCTGGAAAACCATGTTCATATTTGACTTCTCCAAGAGCAGGGATAGGGAAAACGTTTAAAAATCCAAACGAGTGTCAGTCAGTCAATGGCTGCCTAGGGGTCTCTCAGAGCTTTGCCCAGCCCAAGGCCAGGCTCTCCAAGCCGAGGCTGCTGCCTGCCAGGTCGCTAGAGGGCTCCCTGCGCAGGCTGCCCCATTGAAAGGCTGCTTGCCTCCTCCACCCCACTCCCCGGGCAAAGATGGGGAAGCCCACGTGCCCCCCACAACCCAGGCAGAGCTCAGTCACAGTCCCAAGCCCGGCAACTTTGCTTCCCTTTATCCTGTTTTCTGTCCCTCCCTCCTGAGTCTCCATGGTGTCCTCTTCAGTGGTTACCAGCCCCCGAACAGTGCCCCCCCTGTACTTGTAGGGGTAACCATGTGATCCATGTGGGGAGAGCTGCTGGGGCGGGGGGCATGTCAGCCAGGCAAAATATTGATCAGGTCAGCTTAGAAGAACCCCCTGCTCGCTCGCTCGCTCTCTCTCTCTCTCTCTCTCTCACACACACACACACAGAAATTTCATAATTAAAAAAGCATCTTCAGCAAAACCCGGCGCCTTTTGCTGCGGCTACCAAAGGTGACCAGCTTCAGGGGTGCGTGCCAGGAAAGGTCCACTGTGACCCCGGCTTCCACATTGAATCACAGCAAACAAATACAGTCCTGAAAACTGGAGATTGAATAACAGATTCCAAGCCAAATTTCAAATGCAGTTTCAGTGCTTGCTAAAATTTTGTTAGAAACAAAATATTCCGAGTCCTCTTCCTCCACCTCCCCTCCGAAGCGGCTTTCTGGTCTTCCAGGGTTCCATTTTTGTGCTGCCACCGGGAAATCTGTGTTAGAATGCAAGGACTCCGAACTGCCCCGGTGTCTCTGCCGAGCGGAAAGGGGGCTGGGAATCCTCTGGGCCCACAGCTCTCTTGGCTGGGATCTGACCACTGGAGTCGCCTGCAAGCTGAGACTTCCTCTCCAGTCAGCTCGGCCCTCTGCAAGCCTGCAGGCCGCCCGGGACCCTGCCAAGCATGGCGCGCCCTCCACACCACGCCGGCCGGCCGGCCGGCCGAGCAGGACGTCCGGTAGAGGGCCGGGGCCGGGAGAGGCACAGGGCGCTGGGCGGGGTCCGCTCTGCCCACGGCAGCCGGCACGAAGACCCGGGCGGGACGCGGCCTGGGGGAGCCGCTCCCCCGCTCCTGCCGCCGGTGGGCACGGGCAGCCCTCACATCATGATGTGCCTCCGGCGGTGCAGGGCCAGGTGGTCGGAGCGGGAGAAGCTGCGGTCGCAGTCCGAGCAGCGGAAGGGCTTGATGCCCGTGTGCTTGCGGAAGTGCCGGGTGAGCTCATCCGAGCGGGCGAACTTCCAGGTGCAGCCCTCCCAGGTGCACTTGTAGGGCTTCTCTCCTGCGGGCGACAGAGGGGAGGTCAGGACGACCAAGTGCAGCTGCGGCCGCAGCGCCGGAACGCCAGCAGCCGAGCCTGGGCCACTCCGCCAGCGCTGCCCACGTGGACCGGCCCCAGCGCGCCAGGCAGAGGAGCCCCGGCCGGAGGCGCCGCCGGGAGTGGGCCGGGGGCAGCGGGCCTTCCCGGAGCTCAGGCCTGACCGCTGCCCCTCCACCCGCGCCCGCCTGTTCCGGGCAGCCTTGGAGCTGCCGGGAACGCAGGGCTGCCGCTTCGGAAGAGAGCGCTCCTACTCCCAGGGAGGGGCGCCCGCTCTTCCCCACCCGGCCTGCTCACAGGCACGTGTGCACGTGCGGTTCCCGTGTCCAAACGCGCGAGAGCCTGCACTTTGCACGCTGCCCCCAAGCTAAGCGCACAGACAAGGAAGGGCAAGTGGGAGAGGGCACAGCTGGGCCAGGAAGGGAGGTGGTCCCAAACTCAGGCCTGGCAAAGAGGAGAAACGCCCACTTTCGGGGTCTCCGCGCTTTCAAGAGCGGCACTCCGCTCTGCCTGCATCGCCGGGGCAGGCCCAGAGGGCGCGGAACGGCCGAGGGGTGGCAGAAGAAAGAAGGTGAGGCCAGGCTTGTGGGCTGGCCAGGGGGAAAGGCGTTGCTAGGATACCGGAGAGCTGGGAGGACTCCAGCCTGGAAGATGGAACAGGTTGCTAGGATACCTGTGTGGGAGGTTCCCACGATGCAATGGGTTGCTAGCGAGGCTGCAGGGCTGGGAGCCAAGGAGCGCTGGCAGGGGCACAGCTGCAGCTCCCCAGCCCACACGGGGTGGGGCTGCCCATGGGGAAGGCAGGCTGTCTGCAGGGGACTGCCGGCTGTGGCAGTCAATGAGGGTGCTGGCAGATGGGCTGCGGAGTGGAATCACGGGGCTGCTGGTGCTGGGCTGTGGTATCACGAAGGAGTGACAGAAGGTGCCGCCGCTGCCGCCGCACAGCAGTGGGTGAAGAAGCAATTCCCAGGCCTGCCAAAATTCCCCCAAATCAGCTGGGGGCTCATTTGCACTCACTCCTGCCCCCATTTTGCAAGCTGCTTGAGTAGGAGAACCTGCACTTTCCCACACAGGTTTCAAACGCATTCTGCCCCCATTGCGGAAAGTGTAAACGTGCGCGGGGAGAGGCAATGTGCGTTAAAAAGAAATCCTGGGGAAAAGCATCCCTGCTCGTGTTTGCATTCAGGGTGCAAGTGGGACCCATCCAGAGTTCTTCAGGCTGCGCCAACATCCCCTGGGCTTCCATGGTCCTCGAGCGCCATCTAGTGGACATCCAAGTAGCCACCATGCTCAGCTTCTGTCCCCAGGAGCCCCCAGGGCTGGGCCAGAAAGCACCTTCCGCCATATCTCTGCACATTCCAAACGTTAAGAGGAGAGCGCAGCCGGGCTTGGGCAGCCGATTCCTGCACAGGAGCCGTGGAACACCGTGTGCGGGACCCACGGGGATTTCCACAGCGGAACCCTGCAGGAACACTGAAGGCCGGGCGCAAGCCGTGCACACCAGAGAAATCCCCGGGGCTTCAGGCACACAAGGATGGGTACGAATGAGCTGGGGGCTCTCTGGGGGCTGCCTTTTTCTGAGTCATGCAGATTTCGCAGACTTGCAGAATGATTTTTCACTATGGTGGGGATTTTGAGTAATTCGCGTTAGTGGAAGTAGAGAGATTCTGCTTAAAAAAAGTCTGCCTCAGTTCATCACTGAGCAGGTGACAGAACGAAAAAGACCCTGGCAGTCTTCAAAGAATGAATCGAGCAGATTTGCCAGTGCCTGCACCCCCAGCACAAAGGGCAAAGTTGCACTGGCTGCTGCAACCGGGGCCTGGGAAAAGGAAATCACAAATTGTTTTGTGAGCTGCCCCGAGCCTTCAGCGAATGGGGCGGCATAGAAATTTTCTAAGTAAAATTTTCTAAAAAAAATCCCACTCGGGGGAAGTGCCCTGGGCTGGACGGAGAGCCCGCCTGAGTGGGCATGTGGCGCCAGCCAGGGCAGCGGGACGGAGCGGGGGACACGCTCCCTCCCCGGTGCCTGCAGCGGAAGGGGCCCAGAAGAGCAGCCTCGGCCCACCCTTCGCCCCGGCACCTGCCTGTGTGTATCCTCCGGTGTGCTTTCAGGTGTGAGCTTTTGGTGTACACTTTGTTGCACCCCTCGAAGTCGCACTGGTGGATGCGCCTCTTCTTCAGGTCGGGGGACTCCGCTCGTGGCATGCGCCCCACGGAGGGCCTGGTGGGAGAGTCGTGGAGAGAAGGAAGCGGTGGGCACATGCCCAGCGGCCTGGCTGCCCGGAGCCACCCCTGCTGCCGGCACCTGCGGGCCGAGCCTTGTCGGTCTCCAATGCCAGAGGACTGCGGGGAAGGCGCCACCCCCAGCCCACGTGGGGTCCGGGCAAGAAGGCAGCGGGCCGCTGGCTCACGCAGGCAAACCAGTTTGCAGCTGCGTGTGAGTGGGGTTTGGTCTCTGCAAACTGCAAGCAGATGGGGCGTCGTCTGGCCCACAGGCCCACTGCCAGCCGCCCACCTGGCCCGCCGCCCCCTCCTCCGAGGCCGGGCACTCACTCTCTCTGCAGGTCAGGGAAGGAGGCCGGGCCGCTCTCCGAGGCGCTGTCCTCGCTGTCGCTGTTGATTTCCACAGGGCACATGGAACTGGGGTCGACTTTCACTGCAGACAAGAGCCAGAGCATGAGGAAGCAGAAGGGCCGGCCGGCCGGCCGCGGTGCCCTGGCATCATGCCCAGCCCCTTCCCCACCTACACGCACAGGGAGGTGAGGTGGCCCAGCGGACTGTCCTATTTCACACTGAAGGGGAGCGCAATGCCCATGTTACAAAAGGGGAGACCTCTGCAAGGAACGCTGAGCATTTCAAGGAGAAAGCCTTTAGCTCAGCTCACTGACTGCTGAACTAGTTTCCTATATGCAGGGAGGTCTTTTCACACACAGGGGCACCTGAAGCCATGTGTAAGGATGGGAAGCTAGCAGGATTCCAGCGCCTTCCACCAGGCCAGAGCAACTCCTTGCCGGCCCCCGCAGCTACTTGCCTGCCCCTGTGCGAGACCCTCTGGCCATGAAGTCCCAGACGTCCAGGCAATCCGGACGGGCCCACTGATACCCGCGTGGCTCTCCGGGCACGCAGAAACGAGTGCTGCAGCTCCTTGCAGTCTTTGGCCAATTTGATCCGGCAGGGGCTACGCAGGCAGGGGAAGCCACTCCAAGCCCCAAGCAAGAGCTTGGCGGCATCCCAAGGAGGGCTGCAAGACCCTGAGAGGAAAGGCCGAGGCCCAGCGCCCCGCTCAGCCCAGAGCCGGAAGGGCCCACCGGTGCTGGCGGGAATACTGGTGCGGGGAGGTGTGTTTCCAAGGGCTCGTGAAAAAGCGCTCCAGGCTCTCTCCTTTCTGTCACACCTCTTTGCAGCCAATAATTCTAAGCGAAGAGGAAGGGCCGCTTCAGGATGATCTGGAGAAGCTACTGAATTAAACCATTTCCTTTATTTGGCCAGAAAATTAGCTGCCTCCCTTTGCTTTTTGTGAAATTTGAAGTTTCTCGTCCTTTCCCAAGTTACCTATCAAGGTATCTGCTGGCACACGAATGTTTTGTGCAGGTGAGTGTCGTGCAGGGCCGGTCCCGAATCCTTTAAGCGCATCGCGAATCTCCCAGGGGCCGAGGCCGCAGGAGAGCCACGTGCAGGGCGAGCACCCACTCCCCTCCCCTGGAGCTGCCAGCCACGGACCGGCGGCGGCGGCGGCGGCTCTGCGGGGCTTCAGGCCGGGCTTCTCCACCCCCAGGGCCAGCCCGGAAAAGGGTGCCCCCCGAGAGAGCCAGGAGCGGGCCTCACCGGATCCGACGTTCTTGCCGTCGCCGCCGATGAGCGGCACCGTGATGGCAGCGGTGACGCCGTCGCTGGGCATGGTGGTGTACACCACGGGCAAGGACTGCACCACCACCGGGATGGTCTGCAGGTTGCCCATCTTGCTGGGCAGGTTGACGGACGGGATGGTGTGGATGACGTGCAGGATCTGCTGCCCGCCGCTGCCCTGCGTCGAGGCCAGGATGGAGCCGGGGGAGAGCACCGCCGGGATGGCCGAGGAGGCGCCCAGCCCCGAGGGCGACATGGACACCACGGGGGCCGGGAGGGGCGGCGTGGCCAGCATGGGGGAGCAGCGGGCAGAGGGGGGCAGCGCGGCGGCGGTGCAGGGCTGCAGGGAGGCCTTGGGCTTGTGGAGGGACAGGTCCACCGGCTCGGCCTGGGGCTGGTTGCAGTCGCTGGCCAGCAGCTCCTCGGGGGGCTCCGTCTTGATGTCGCTCAGCAGCACCGGGGGCTCAATGGGCGTGTCCTCGAGGAGGGAGGAGGAGCTCATCTTGGCCGGAGCCTTGCTGGGGGCCTGGAAGGAAGGAAGGAAGGAGGGCGGCGGTGAGGCACCGGGCCGAGGGGGAGGCACGGGGGGCAGCGCGGCCCTGGAGGGAGCCGGGCCACGCACAGGGGGCTGGCCAGCCCGAGTGGAGCAGGGAGAAGGCACGCTTCCCAGGCGGCAGGCGGAGGCGGCCACGGCGGGACTGGCCCAGATGCCGCGCGAGGCGCTTCGGAGGCCCGCCTGGCAGGGGGCCATTTCACCGTCTCCAACAGAGGAGTCGCCCCGCCCCGGGGATGGGGCACCATGCAGGCACACGCACCTTGCCCGCGACTGCGGGACGTGCATCTCCAGACCCGCAAGGATCCCTCCAGCGGCCCTTGCGAGCAGGGACCGAGCAAGCTGGGCTCGGAACGGCAGTGTCACACAGCCGAGGAGGCAGCTTGGCTCAGGCGGGCCCACCCGAGAGCAGCGTGTGTGGGGTGCCTGCCCTCTTCGCGAGACTGGGGGCAGGGCCTGCAGGCAGCCCAGCCCAGCCCAGCCCCCTTCTCACAGCCTGCCTGAGCGTGGCGCTCCGTGGCCGAGCTGTGCACAGACTGGGCCTGGGGAGAGCAGGCCACGGGGGGGGGGGGGAGGCGAGGCTCAGGAGGCAGCCAGCTCCTGCAGCTGGCGCAGCTGCTGCCTCCCGGCGAGGGCAGGTGGAGCTGGGCGGACACAGCGCTCCTCCCGCCCCGGCAAGTGGCACGCCGGACACGCGGAGGGCGGGGGCGTGGCCTCCGGCGCCGCCTCCTCCGCCCCGCGCAGGGCAGGAGGCACGGGCGGGAGCCTGCGGGCAGGTGCTCTCTCCTCCCTGGGCCCAGCCCGGAGCCTCCCTCTGGCAACCCCCGAGGGTGACGAGGTGGGGCGGGAAGCCCGGGAGGGGCTGCACAAGACCAGGCTGGCCCGAGCAGAGGCAGCAGAGGGAGGAGAGCAGCTGCGGCACGCAATGGGCTTAGCCTGGCAGAGACTCTGCCCAGCCGCCCAAGACCTCTCTCAAGTGGTGGGGAGTTCCGCTGGAGAATGGCAGCTTCTCTGCTGCTCCCTGCAGGCTTTGCCCGGGCTCAGAACCCTGGCCCAAGAGGTCAGAGGCCCGTGCCTGTGCAAGCGCTCCTCTGCAAGGAGGCCCAGAGAACCAGTACCGAGTGACGCACACCAGCAGCCCGCTCCAAGCCCGAAGGCCATGCTCGTGGGTGCAGGACCAGCCCAACACCGGGCGTGGGCAAGCCAGGCCTTTCCCCTTCTGTACTGCGTCTGCCATGGGCATTGGTACAGCACCCCATTCCTGGGCAGGTTCTGGAGCAGTAAAGGCTTTCCAAGAAGAGTAAGAACACTTTGCGAAAATCCACAGATGGTCGGCAAGAAAAGCTTCCCCAGACAGACCCTCCCAGCTCAGTTCGCCTCCCCAGCCACATCTCCTGGGCCTCCTTTCCCTTTTTCCTTTTCCTTTTTTTTTGGGGGGGGGGCTCTTTGCTGAACAAAGAATCCCCCAACTACCCAGAGAGCCCGGCAGAGTCCAGAGGCTGTTGCTATGGGGACAGGAGGGAGCTGGCATTTGGCTTTGCCCGGAGCATGTGGGGGTGGGGGGAGTCCAGCCCGGCCCCTCCCTCAAAGCAAAGCCCCCAGAGATTGCACGCTCGCCCTCCGCTTCAAGGCCACCGTGCAGGGCAACCACCGCCAGGACCCTCCCGCTGACTAATTCAGCAGGGAGGCCACAGCTGGCTTCCCGTCTTGCCGAGGAGAAGTGCTTTGCGGCAGGCCCTGCTCTCTCTGGACCAGGCCCAGGAGTGCTCCCCGCACCCCGACAACAGCTGCACCGCCACCCAGATGGCACCCGAGCGCGGGGGGTGCCCTCAGCGTCTCTCACCACTTCCTCTGCAGCCCCCCCGGGCAGGCGGGAGGGGAGGACCGGGCCAGAACTGCCGGCGCCCCGGCATGCCTGGCTGCCGTCTCCCCCCCCCCCCCCGGCCGAGGGGTTCGGCGGTGCCAGGACTGGCCTGGGAGGCGATGGCTGCGTGGCTCGGGAGGCCCACAGATCGCAGCCCCCAGGCCAGACAAAATACCCTGAATCCGCCCTGTCCCCAAAGCCTCAGGAGGCCCAGCCACCCCGCCCCACCGTACCCCGCCTGCTCCCGGGGGGCTCGGGGCTGTGCAGACAAGCTAGGCCCCACGCTGCACCCGCTGCCGGGCAGCCCTCAAGGACAAGGCTCGCCTTGAGAAAGCTGGGGCCCCCAGGCAGCCTCCCCTGCCCCAGGCCAGCCTGCAGCCTCCTCCTCCCTGTTCTCCGTCCCCAGCCGCTTTCCTTCCCTCCCCTTCTGGCTCCAGCCTCGCTCTTCCTCCCAGCCTCTATTAATATCACCGTTACGGCTTGTATCTCGCCTTTTGCCTCTTGCAAGGAAGCCAAGGTGGCTCCCGCAGTGAGCCCCCACTCCCTTTCATCCTCTCAACAACAGCCCTGTGAGGTAGGCTCGGCTGAGAGGGAGGGAGGGACCCAAAGTCACCCATGAGCTTCATGGCCTCTGGCCTGGCTGCGTCTTTCAACAAGCCTTCATATGCTTAGCCACATCCTTCAGAGGAGCCATTTTGTGCTGGTGCCCACAACAGCTTCCAAATCCCCTGACACGTTCATGGACCCGTGGCTGGGGACCCCTCTGGCAAGTGGATGGATTGTGGGAATGCCGTCATTTAAGTCCTTGGGGCAGTTTTCCCGGAACCAGAGTCAGAAGTGCCACTTCAGTGCAGATGCTCGGCACCTTCAAGAGCCCTGCCTCATCCCCCGCAGGGGCTGGGAAAGGGGACGGGCGTTCCCCACGGACACTGCAGCTGCGAGTTCAAAACTGGTCTCCCACCAATTGCTCAGTCTCCTTTTTATTTTTGTTCAAACGTTTACGCTCTTGGCTTCCAGAACACAGAAACATCGCTATATTGGCTTATGGCTAGCAAGGGACGTGCAACGCAGTCTTCCTTCGACGCCTTTTTCTCAGATTACCAAACTCTCCTGCACTGTCTTGCGCGCTGTGGATCGAGTTCTGCAGGGCGCATTCCTTCTTTTGCAACGGCTGTCGTTCTCCTTTCTCCGGCCTGCCCTCCCCCACTTTCCCGCACCGCCCGCCCGCTCGCTCGTCACTGCGCTAATCCCCAGCCAACCTGCTCTGCCTCCCACCTGGCCTCAGGAATCCCGCACAGGCCCGCAGCGAGCGAGCTCGCTGCGGCTGCCGGGAGTCCGCCTCCCCACTCACCCTCCGCCCCACGGAGACGGGGGGACAAGGGCAGGGGCAGAACGGTCTTGCATTGCGCAGGGGTCACGCCTGAACTCCTTGCAGGCGGGAGGAGGACGGTTTGCTGGCCAACCAGCCACAAACCCGCTCTCTGCTTATGCACCCTGGAACACAAACAGACCTTTGAACTGAAAAGCAGGAGCCAAAACTGGTGAGATCACGACATTCAGAGAAGAGCACTGGGCGGGCAGGAGCTCCGGCGAGGAGCCATGTGCGGCAACCAGCCACGGCAGAGAAACGCACGAGGCCGCCGGCGAGCTCCCCCTCCGCCTCCAGAGCGACGGAGGCAGCATGTACGAGCGGCCAGGCAGTGAGCGCCGGGGAGAGCCTTCCCGGTCTGGGCAGCTCCGTCATGTCGGACTGGCCACGTTGCCGGGGAACTGTGGGAGCTGCACACATCTGGGGGCCCTGGGCTGGGGGAGGCTGGTTTTTCACCGCTTTCTTGACCCCAGCAGGGGGACTGCGCTAACTCCAGGGCAGGTGGAGCTCGGGCCACTCCGTTCTGGCCTGGCTGTTCAAGTTGCCACTCAGAACCCTCAATCGGATGTGACGGGAGCAGGCCTGGCCACCCGCTCAGCCAGGCAGACCTGAAGCCAGGCGCCCGGCTCTCCCGCATGAGCGGCTTTTCCCAGGGGCTGGGAGTCTCTGCCGCCAGCCCACCCTCCCTGCTCCGGCCACCACCCAATATCCAGAAGCTAAAGGTCATGGAAAGCGAGCAAGGGGTTGTGCCGAGGCGCGGCGGATGCAGGAAATGCCTGGACAGGCCTCCAATCTCGGGGCGCCGTATCAGAAAAGGTCTGGGGGGGGGCGTGGCTGCAGTCTGGCCGGGAGGCAGAGGAGTGACGCCTCCCCTGGAGAACGGCAGGGCAAGGAGGGTGGATCCGATCACCTGGAGCCCCTCGCCGCCAGCTTGGCCTGATGGCCGCGCAGCCCAGCCGCCCCGCCCTGCTGCTCCCCAGGGCAAGGGTGCCAAGGCAAGTCTGCACGCCAGGGAAGCTCTCACCGGGAGGCCCAGCTAGCATGCACCTCTCTCAATGCATGACTCCCCCCCGCCTCCGAGCAAGCAGCGAAGAGCCATTCGCCTGCCGAGCCCCTCAGAAACAGTCCGGTCTAACTTGGTGGGAACTGCTGGAACCCGCAGGGCTGCCAAAGGGTGGAACGCCCTGCCTGGACAGGGTGTGAACTTCGGATGCCCCGGCCCAGCCCTGACGCCAGCGGCTGAAATGCCAGCAGCGCCTTAACCGCTTCAGTGCTGGGCAAAAGCAAACACAGCCAGGCCAGTCTGCACACAAAAGCCCAGTGGGCAAAGTGGGGCTGGAGCAAGGCTGAGAAAGAGGTCCCAGAATAGCCGGCCGAGCCGAGCCGAGCCGAGCCCTGCCCACGCACACGCCTCCCAAGAAAATGCCAGTGCCAGGAGAGAGCGAGCCCCAGGCAGCCGCGGGAGAACCCCACCGAGAGAGCCAGGAGACCAGCAAGACTGTCCGACACCCAGCTGGCCGGCAGCAGCGGCTCCGAGTCGGACTGGCCTGCCCCCTCCCATGCCCTAAATGGTGCTTTGCAAGCGGGGGAGGCTCAGGGCAGCCTCCCACAACCTGGCGCCCTCAAATCGTGTTCAACTACAACTCCCATCATCCTCCAACAACCGACTGTGGGTGCAGGGAACTGTAATCTAAGGCATCTGGTGGGCACTTGGCCGCAGGAGGGCAAGCTAGAGGGAAG